TACTAGTTCCAGCTTCGTGTCACCACCTTTTTTAAAGTATTTTTTAAGCAAATCTCTAAGGCCTCTATTTTCTTCCTCTCTTTTTCTCTTCTTTTTCCTTTTCTGACCACCAGACTTCTACTGAGCGGACATCTTGGTGCTGAAGTGCAAAGTCCGAATTCCCAATCAAAGGACATCAGACGTTGATCAGGGGTCAAACCATTTAATGTTGGAGGTGGGGGTGGAGGGCAACTCCAAAGATATTAAGGACAGTTCAGACGAAAACAAATTAAAACTTCTAACTCAAATATTGTTTCTTTCCATTAATAGCCCTTCTTTGGGGAAAAAAAAATCCATAATTCAATGAGGGTCCAGTTCTGGGCCCCCCCACCACTCTGGGCCCGGGACAACAGACCCGTTTGTCCCCCCCCTATCAGCGGGCGTGTTTACAGGTATATGTAAACGTTTGTGTACATACTTTTTAATATCAATATATGTAAGTATGCGCAACTGAACAAATTTGGAGGGGAAATAAATCATCCCAGACTCCTGCTTTGTCGTTATAAAAATAAATGTGAAATCTTGAAAAGGGCATCTTCTCCCACAACCCACCGGCCACCTGGTCACTTTGAGCAATACAAACTTGTTATTTATGCAAAAAATATGGTGGGGTCCTTACATTGGTTCACCTTCCTGCTATATGGTTTGGCCAAAGGGCAGAGTAGGAAAACAACAGGCGCTACACTTCACCCTGTGCTTTTTAAATTATTGACCTACTTTATTAACCTACAGTATTTTTATTTTGTCTTACGTTTACAACAAAAACAATGTGGTTCAGCTTCATTCATTTGAGAGCCCCTTGTTGTCACTGATTGTGGGTCAGTCTGTGACTGTGGATGTTGGATATTCAGCCTTTTCAGCCATGAAACGTTTCTAGTGAAACACTTGAAACCAAATGTGACCTTTAATAATCAGCTTTATTAAAATCCTTTTTAAGAGAGAAAATCATCTCATTCAAGCTCTCCATTTGCAATGTAAAGACTGTTAAAACTCCAGAGCTTGATGTTAATTAAGAAAATATGACAAATGCTTTCAGTTTCTACCTGTTCATATCCATCATGCTCATCTTTGCATTCAACTCTCATTTCTAACCATCGCTTCACATTCTCACATCTCAGCACTCACCTCTGCTGTTGTCATCTCACAAGTAAAAGGGACTTCGACAAAAGGCCTCCCGTTAACTTGACAGTGTTAGTAACTCATGTGCAATCAATGTGCAAACTGCAATTACCAGAATTACCAGACATGTACAGTAGCTGCTTGTGATTATCTGGAGATTTTCTCATTTGTCCGTTTGCTTGAAGCCACTGACACATAGAAACTGCAATTACAAATTAGTTTTGTAGGAAGGAATCATCTGTTTTTAAATTACTCTAACTGCTTCAAATGTATTGATTTTCAGTGTGTAAGTGTTTTTAGTAGTTATAAAAGAATATCTTACTCAGATAACTCTCACACACAGCTAGCCTTCCTAAGGTGCAAATGTACATCATGTACTTACATAAAGTGCTAACATTACATTCTGAAACCACAAAAACAGTCATATATATAACAGGCAGAATGGAATACCAACACCATTAAATGATACAGTACACACAGCACCTTAAACACAATAGTCAATCAAAAGTTTGTGTTCCTTCCAATTATGGAGCTACATTATCGTACCAGACTATGCAGTGCACAGTCGACAGTGTACTGTCATGCTCACATGTCAGCAGGAAATCTAAAAATACCATGAGGGTGTGAAGAGGAAACTGGGGGTTTTGTGAGCTGTAGATACATTGGTCTTTTCACCATAATAGAAGCTGAAACTCAAAGTCACACGAGTTTATAAATACACTGGTCAGCGACAACACTAAAACTACAGACAGCTGAGGAGAATAACATAGATCATCTCGTTACAGCACAATGTCGTGCAGGGAAAGCTGGTATTCATGTGTATTCATTTCACATGTACGACCCAAATAAGCATTGCTGCAGACCAAGAACTTAAACTGCTGTGGGGCGCTTTGAGGAACATGGCAAAGAGCCTGAATGGTTGATCCAGCCTCTCAACCCTGCAGACCCAAATATATAAGTGTAATTTACGGGGGCGCCACCTTGCAGGTCACATGACCCAAAGCATCCCCTTACACCGTCTTAGTACTACACACTACAGGACATCCCCAGACATCTCGTCTCAGTGACTGTACACAATGTGGACCCTACATAATACTAGCGATGCAGTTTTAATGTCGTAGCTGATCATTGTAAACATGACACTAGTCCATCCATTTATATGTGTATTAACCACACATGTATGAGAAGGGTGAGAAGGCTCTGGCCTTCTTCTGTGAAATGAGTGGGTGTTGCTGCTCAGCCGGCCATACTAACCACCCCCAACACCCCCATACACACCTCTACTACTGAAAACGTGAAAGGATACACATCCACAGTGTCTCACTTTCATGGGTATGTTTCCCTCTTTGTGGAGTGATACTCGGTGATACTCTCAGAAGCACCTTAACAAGCCCACCAAGGTTTCCATCTTCTCCACGGCTTGTTGTAATTTGTATCTTTGTTTTTTTGTGTGTGTGAATAAATAATCCACCCTGTTACTTTTTTTTTAGTTTACAAAGTGTATACAGTAAATGTGAGGTGAATGGGCTTTGACCACATTCAGATGTGAAAAGTAGCTGCTGTTATGTTGTGTGTTATGCCTTGAATACAGTCAAACCAGTGTATTATCCCAGCGAACATGCGACATTAACTAACTGGACCATACAGCAGTCCACAGTCTTTCATAGCTGTCTCTTCTATATCCTTCTGATGAAACTGTCTAAAAAGGCAGTCTCCCAGTCTGTTTTGATATGATGTTACACCAATTTGCTATCGACCCTGATCTTGAAAATCTCTTGTGTTGCTTTCTATGAAACGTTCCCTTCTTATCCAGTCTGTCGGTTCAGACATTGCTGATACGGACACTGAGAGGAGTGTCCCTGACTCGGCCTCGGTCCTCCCCTCGCTGCTCCCTGTAGCTCTGCTCCAGACGAATCTTCTCCGGATCAGATACCTCAGGCACAGTCCCACCTCCATTGCTCTGGTACTCATGCTGAGGGCTAGACGGTTTGAAGATGGGGGTGGTTTTGGTCTTGGCCACTTTGTCGAAGAAGGCGAAGTCCGCTACGTATTTCCCTGAAGGGGAGAGGGAGACTACGGGAGGAAATTCGTAGCCCCAGAGGATCTCATCTGGCAGGTAGGAGGTGCGAACCTGGCAGGTGGCAGAGGTGGGCTCCACTGTGGCGCTCATGATCACCAGCAGCTCAAAGTCTGCCAGTTCTGGATCCGTCCAGCCACCACCTGGTTAAAAGGATGAGACAGACGATATAACTCAAAGCTAGCAAGCAGGGAATGTTCCCGTAACTTTGGTAAACATTACCCATAAGTTCAAAGAATGTTTTCGGGACATTTCTCATTTCAAATAATGTTCCGATGACGTTAAACTCTAATTGGAACATTCAAAGGATGTTAAAAGATGTTTTTTTATTAAAACATTCCTGTGATGTGACACATTGGCAAACGTGGAACACTTTGCCTGCAGTGTTCTGAGGGTGTTTTGGAAATGTTGTTGAGAAGATACATAAAACATTCTCACATAAAATGTTCCCACAATGTTGCATGATAACAGAGAAAGGATGTTTTCAATGCAACATTCATCAAATGCTTAGAAAGTCTCGAGAGAACTTCATCCTGTCTTGAAGAACATTCTCTGAAAAGAAAACGTGCTGCTCTAAACATTACTAGAACTTTGCAGAGTTTTTAGAACAAAACAATTTTCGCTTGGAGGTTTTGAACATGTTCAATGCTCCCAAATAGCGTTGTTACAAGGCTTTTGGTTGTTTCTTGTGAATATTTTTAAGGATGCAAATGGAAATTGAAATTGAAAGTAGTCACAACAAAAGTATGTGCTACAGAGCTGTAGTAAGACATGAAGTAAAATGAAAAATTCCCTCCATTTTTGTACATTCATTTTAGGAAAAAAAATGTTTTCATCATGCATATGCAAGGTTTCACTTCACCAACCACAGAAAGGAGGAACTGTGACTCGCTTCGTACTTAATGGAAATCTTGTCACAACTTTTCTCATTAAAGTCAGTCTTTCCATGTCAGAGTTCTCACGAGACTAAATCAGCTAAATTCTTGAAACTTTACATCAATGAATTGCTGCAGCTTGAATAAGCAAGTTTATTGTGAATCCATGTTAGCGACACAGCATCGTACTCCTTGTACACTCAACAACAAAGAGGCCTCCGAGCAGCTGCAATGCTCTTTTTACATATCTGTGAAAAAACTACAAATACACAGAGTCGACGTAACATCATAAATACAATCATGCTCACCTGCAGTGTTAAAATGGGCTCCAGGCTGAGGTTTAATTAAAGCATACTAGTTTTGAAGGTAAAAGTGTTTATGACAGTTTGTGTTTTAACAGCCTCTCTGTAAAGTTAGGTGCAGGGACAAACGACAATCCAACACAGTCCCCATTAGGTGATTAAAAAGGTGGTGCTGGTATTAACCAAACACTAGTCGTGCATAGCCAGATCATTTTTTTGGCTGCACCTCATGATCATTCTTCTACAGGAGAGAAAGAGCTGTGGTGTGATTGTATTTCCATAAATCAATCACAATCATCTACGAACAGGATGGTGTTTGCTCAAAATAGAGATGGTGAATGAAACATTTTGCAAAGAAAGCTATCAACTATCATTCCAAATATATAGAAAAATGTGACCAACCAGATGTGGTTGTTTGAAAATGGTTACACGTAGATATCGGAAGGGGAGGCAAAAGTATGAGTTTAGACCTGCAATCTACATCCAGAGAGTCAAACTAAACAATATTAGGACTTAGAAGTTCAAGACTCATGCATAATTGTTCTTTAACTGTATTATTTTTATATTTTGCTGTGGTTTCAGTTACTGTTTTCTTGTCTTTTTAAGTCACTGTTTGATTTTGTTTATGCAACAAAACTACTTGTTTCAGCTTCGGCACCAAAACTACTTGGGTTAGGTTTGGAAGAATAAACAAGTTTGGGTTATAATACACCTGTCAAGTCCACCATAGTTATAGCCACTGAAAAGATGGAAGCTTCTCACAATTGTATAGCCTCTTTTGTAAAAAATAATGTTTTGCACTGAGGACCAACACACCTATTAAACAGTTTGGTGTGAAACTAGGCCGCCCCACCGCTCTCTCAAATAGGTATAGGATTCATAGAGTTGTTTAACTACCCCAAATGGTGGTTTGAACCATACTGATGGCTTTAGTCCAAAGATCTGTCACACCGTCCACCAAGTAATCGTGAGAGCTTCAGAGAAAAACAACAGGATTCATTTTTGAATCTTAAAGATGCTTCACCTCTCATCTAAGAGTTCTTCAGAGTTCAAAGAATCTGTTCAAAGAATCACCTTTAGCCGCCCAGGCTCGCAGGGGGCTGCTGTCATCGATGACGTGGTAGAAGGTGAGGGGCAGGATGAGGAAGGGGCTGTCACTGGAGGTGTCCACTTGAAAGGGCACATTTCTCTGATCCAGACGAACCGTCTCGCCTTCCTTGGTCAGAGATGTCTGAAGCAGTTTTCCAGTCACCTGAACAATGTGTGCGACTTATTTTAGCTGAACCACTTGGAGAAGCTACTCATGAAATCTTTAAATATCATACAATACAAAGACTTACTAACTTTTAAATATTTTAGATGAAACACTGGAATTTGAACCTTCCATATTCATTTATTTCTATCTCCGTACGAGTTTACCTGACACCCAAGCAGCAGACTCTTGCGCATGTTGGCCACCCTGATCATGAGGCAGGGTCTGCCCTCTTGGGTGGACACCACAGCATGCTGGCTAAACTTCACCGTCTCACCTCGCTTCTTTGGCCGGGCAACCTGAGCGGGAAAAATGCTCAGTCAGTTCTGGTCTGAGTCTCATTATCCAGAGACCCCAAGTGGCATTACCTCTCTCCACCTGCCCCTGTTCATCTACACGGACTCTATGCGTTACAATAATTCACAGCTTTAATATTGGATTAATACTTATCCTTTGCAAGTTATTCACACCTTGTACCACATAACTTTGCACATTCTCAAATGAATAATTTTCACATCCCTGCACCCCTTAAATATTTCTTTTATTACTTAAGTCCTTAGATTTGCAGCACTTGCTGATTATTTGTCTTGTGACACTGTAACACTGTCTGTTGTATACAGTCGTGACTCAATAATCCCACGTTAAATGTAAGACCTTCTTTTATGTCGGATAGCAAGGCTGTCAGATTGTCAAGATGGAGGTCGAGATACAAGGAGGGCTTGATGCTTTAAGGGTAAATTGTTGTTAATATTTATTGTTCATAGTTGTTCTAATAACTAGTGTATTGTTAGAACACTACGCATCGCTGGATATCACGCCTAAATTGACCAATGTGCTTGTGCACGGACCCGTCGGTTGACATCAAAGGTAAGTAAATCTGTCGGATTGTTAAGTCAGATAATACGCCGTTATTCGTATTTGTGACATAAAATGTCACGTCGGAGTCGGAATCCAAGGCTGTGTATATGTATATATACGTATACATTCATATATACATCTTTTTATGTCTTGTGTGTTTTATTCCGTATTCTTATTTATCTTATTATTGCGGAATTATTAGTGCGGAACAGGTACACAACGCATTTCACTGCGCGTTATACCGTGTATAACTGTGTTTGTGACCAGTTCCTTGAATCCTTGAATCCTTGTCGGTATGTTAAGGCTAGTTTTTATGGGTTCCGTTCGTTTTCCTAAAAACCTGTTTGACAGCAAGGTTTTCAGATTGTTAAGGGCCGGATTATCAAGTCACGATTGTTTCCTTTTATGCATCAAAACACTATGTCAGATTTCTTGTATGTAAAAAAAAAAAAAACCTACTAAGCCATAAAAAAACTGATTCTGATTCTAAAATCATCCATGTAAGTCTTGATCATAACATGAGAACACATAAATGTGCACTGCTAGGAGTTGTATGCAGCTATTTCAGACTTGGGAACACATTTCGGCAGGATGCTTTATGTTTTGTCCACCTTGGCCAGGAAGGTTCCAGTGATGAAGATTTCCATGAGCATGGTGATGACCAGTTGGATTATGAGGAGGATTATCGCGGCCGGACATTCCTCGGTGATGCAGCGAAAACCATAACCGATGGTCGTTTGGGACTCCAGAGAGAAGAGGAAAGCTCCAGTGAGGGTCTGCATCTGCATCACGCAGGGTGTATGGTTCGATGGAGGGTCAAACTCTGGAGGGTTGAAAAGGCAACAAAAGGTCATTGAAGGTTTTGTGCAATACGTGAATTGCGTGTTGTCTGCTTGTTTTTTTTTCAATTTTCTATACTTCATTATAGCATTCTAGGGATTGTAATGTCTCTAAAACAAAAACATTTCCAGAGCAGAATATTAAATGTGTGCGTGTCTCTGCAACCCTAAATAACACTCAGTGTGTGTGCATACGTGGTTGCAGATGTGTTACGTTGCAGCGAGAGTCACGTTGTGTATTTTTAATTTTACCACACATGGAGAGAATCAAGTCATTTATTCAGTGTCTAATCTTAAAGTTATAAAGCGCTTCTCTTTCACCGAATGTCTTAAACAGGAAGTAACACAAACAAGTTTTAACAAAAATATAGAGAGAATAAATTGAAAAATAAATCACAATGAGCACGAGTCAGAATTTCAATGTGATGTTTTTTGTTGTTTTTTTTTTTAAATTTGGTTAATTTTTTTAAAAATCTTTTTATCATCAAGACTTGTTTTGTTGCAACCACGAACTAAAATGTGTTACATCAATCTACCAGTGTCAGTAAAAGGTAGCTGGACTTCTTTTTATTTTATCTCATATTCAAGAGACTTCCTCTTCCTCTTCAGAGAACTGAACAACATCTTCCTGTGACGTGAATGGCTGAGACAAAATACTTCTGGTAATTTGTTCAGCTGTAGTCTGAGAAACAGATGTGGTCAGGTATTTCTCCATGGTCATGCACTGGTAGACAAAATGAGAACAGAATTTTTACACATTTAATATTTCCTGTAAAATGCTTTAAAAATGGAACTACACAGAACATGTGCTGTTAACAAGAAGCTTCCAGGATATTGCAATAGGAGCGGTTGTGTACATTCATGTAAAAAAAAAAAAGGAAATGTGTTTCAGTATTTAAAGGTTACAGCTTCGATTAAAGTAATGTGCCAATGGTGTAAGTAATAAAAGTCTGTGGTGTGTTTTGTGTCTGCAACAGTTGGTTAGCTCAGGAGCTAAGAGCTGAGTGTGACCCTGCTTCTCCTGAATATTATTATTATTATTATTATTATTATTAGCACATTACAGGAATAAAATGTTCACTGATGTTCCTCGGAAAATACGTGAACAGTGAATCAATGTCTTTAAATAGTCTACATTCACTTTTGAACCTACTCTCACCAGCCAGTTTATAAACATCTTTTCAGTGTAAAATGCTCACACCGTGGCACATTTCACACAGGATCTCTCACTGATTCCCCTGCAGCATTTCATGCAGCTGAAACACCATCACATCTGCATACTTGTGTCATTATGGTATTTCTGTTTTCAACAGTCTGTTTCCATTGGTGTAGAAAATATCAGAAATCTGTTTTGTATGTTTTGGTTTGACATTAGTCGGTGATATGCACACTGTGGTATAAACTGTCGTGCCCTCCACCTAGAAGTCTGCAATTTGTTGTATAAATGAAGCTTCCACAAGCATTGCTGGACAGTGAGCTTATTTCGGCATTGACACCTGAAGTTATACATTACAGCCAAAAAATACTTTTAAAATCCTTCAGACAGACTTCTGCACAGCCTTGATGACAAACTGTGTTAATGCTATTTATACGTACATGGAGGTAGCAGGATGTACCTGGTTTAGCTGTCACTGCAAAACAGACTGACCTTTAGATGTTAGCAATGGTCTCTATCTTTTAGCACTTACAGAATATGTATATCATTTTAGTCTTTAATGTTTTGTTTTGAGACATTTGCTGTAGTTAACTCGTATGAATCACTGTAAAGGTGAAAAAGTGTGGTTTTGTTGAGGTGTTTTGAAGTTAAATTGTCTGGATGATTCAATTAAAAGAGTTGCTTCATCTTCCTCTATTTTCTTCACCACCTCCTTGTTGTAGTTTATTGTGTCAGTTTTGGTGTGAGGTTTTGATACCAATACGTTAAGGGATGTAAGAATTTTGTTTGTGTAACTACAACAAACTACACTGAAAAACTTAACAGCAGATTCAGGAACATTGTCTGGTGTTTCCAAAAGCCCTTTCTGTCAGTTTCACCTAAACTAATTTCTACTGAGGGAATGTTCGCTGTGTCTAAAGTAGGACCAAGTAGACTGAAAATGTGGGCGTCTACATCACACTGGACATTAACTTATGACTTGTTGTTTGTTTCATAAATTCCCTCGACTATCTCACCCAGCAAGTCTCCGTGCACCAGCGCCACCAGGTACCAGAGCACCCCAAAAAGGAACCAGGTCCCGGCAAACGTAGCCGTGAACAGGAAGAACTTGTAGCGCCACTGCATGTCCAGAAAAGTGGTCCAGAGGTCGCGCATGTACAGAGCACTGCGCCCGCTGACATGTTCAATGCGCACATTGCTACGTCCATCTTTGGACAGGACACGCCTCCTCTTCCTCAGAGTCCCGCCCCCGCCGGAGATGCCACCGCCCAGTAAGGGTTTTAAAACGTCTGTCTGTGTCTGGGAGTGGCAAACTTTCTGAGGGGAGGAGCTGCGAGAGGATGGAGGTGTGGCAGACGTCATCTGGTGAACAGCAAAAAACAAAAGTTAAATTCATTCGTCATTTATCTGTCTAACTTGTTAACTGTTGTTAAGTATGGAAGCCGGAAGCGGTCATGGCCGCACATTTTTTTAAACTGCATTTTCTCGAGATAACGAGATAATTATCCCGTTGACAGTTTCGGCTGTCACTTCAGCCTTCATCAGAAGTTGTCGGACTTCCTGGTGTGACGTATCTTATATAGACAGCTGACCGGGCACGACAACTTACAATGAAGCGCTCGTGCCCGGTCTCGTCTGTCCTCCAGCCCCCCGCTGGTGACTGAGGATGGAATCCCAGGTGTGTGGGAGGTCCCACACACCTGGGATTCCATCCTGGACCGGGCATGAGCAGGCAAACACAAACATCAATTATCTCGTTTTCACGAGAAAACGATTCCGGTTATTCCGAGATAACGAGAAAATTAACTCGTTATCTCGAGAAAACGGCGAAGAAAGAACAGTAGCGGAAAATGACCGCTCTCGGCTTCCGTAGTTAAGCATTGTTAATAGGCTCAACTGATATTTGGGTTTTTTGGAGGTCAGTACATAACCCTCTAAACGTTAAGCAGTTTGTTGGCATGTTTTTGCTCTTGTCAGTGTAGGCTCGTTTTTCACTCCAATCTAAGGTCCTGCACCTCTATGGAAACACAACCCTGGCTGGAAGGAGACAGAACTTAAATATGTCTTTTGTGAAGTATGACACAGTTATGATGCCATAAGTCATAAGAAAGGCAAAAACTAAAGTTGCATTTCTGTGAGTTTCTTTTGGGTTTTTTTGAATTAAAAGAATTAATAACAAAATGGGATCACCAATGAATTGGAATCATTTGGAGTGTGGGCGGGTTGACATGTTTGTTCAATACACTGAACAAACATGCTATGTTATCTTTGTTATGTTGTCAAAAAATAAGAAGAATGTTAAAATAATAATTAAACAAAAAAAAAGGGATCATCATGTTTATTCAAATGTCCACAGATATTATCAGTACTGGTGACGAAAAATGGTGACACCACATGGTATAAGTTTATTTCTGTTTACATTTTTACCATTTCTATGAACCAAGTGTTTTTTTGTTTGTTTTTAAACTATTCTGTACATCGAGTGAAAAGATATTCTGCCATTCTGAATGTGTCTTTTAGCATGTGTCTGAAGTAACTTTGATGAAATATAATAACAACATAGCTCATTTTTGACTATTTTTTTCTGACAACACAGTCATGGAGCATCATAAAGTTGAAAATCTGACATTTTGGGGTTTTTTTTCCCATTTCCTGATATGAAAAAGGATGTCATATTAGTCATTTTAAAACTTGCCGACGGGTTTTAGGGTTAAGTTGAAAGTAAAAATATTCACAATCTCATTAAAATTCAAAAGCAGTTTTAAAACATCTAACAGTACTGACATCATCTGACACCTGGACGTGATCTGATAACAACCGTCTGTAAAGTTTTGGGGAACTCTAGAAATGTTCACAGTGACTGGACGTTTTGGGAACTTCCCCTGCAGCCACCTGCTCTCATTGTGACTACATTGTGTTACTTGAAATCAAACCTGTGACAGAGTTTCTACTGGTACCAAAATAAAGTTAAATAGTTACACACAAGTTAACATCAAGCTGTTACTTGTTATTAAAAGCCAGGAAACCATAGTTTAATGAATAAAAAACAGCAAAAAAGCACACCCACACTAGACCTTTTGCTCATTCATTGATCATTAAGATCAAATGTGATGTAATTGTTCTGGGATTTTCTGAGGTACAAACACCACATGTTATTGCACTGACAGACAGTGTGGATGCCACTCACATGAACTGATCACACTTCATAATATCTTTCCCATGAACAGGGAGTGGATTTGTTTTTTTTTAAGTTAATAACACAAAAAGTAACAAAACAAGTTGTACAAACAATCAAAATGAAAGATTCAAAGACAAGTCAAATCCTGCCTACTTTATTGCCTTTGCATAATTTGCACATCAGTGCATTTAGTGGCCGTTGTTTTGTTGGTATTGGATATTCCGGCCTCATCTTTCTTTTAATAATAATAATTGATCAGATTTATATAGCGCTTTTCTGGACACTCAAAGACGCTTTACGCTGTCAATTATTAATTCACATTCACATTCATTCTGGTGGTGCCCTGGGGCAGACTGACAGAGGTGTGGCTGCCATTCTGCCCCTCCGACCACCACCTCAAACAATCCATTCATACGCATTCACACCAGGCAAGATGGGTGTCTTGCTCAAGGACACAACAACCATGGAACATGTTACATCTTCCAATCATCGACCGACTCGCTCTACCACCTGAACCACAGCCGTCCCCGTGTCTATCACACATAGAAGAAGGGGAAATTTGCTTCTAAAGCCCTTTTCAGACATGGGAAACATAACATTGCTGCTTCATCAATCTATTAAAGTGATGGCATTCTGTCATTTAGACATAAATCACTTTCACATAGTGTCCACAGTGATGGAGAAACACACACTATACACATGGTGTTTGACTCAAGATTAGCTCGTGCATCAAGTGATGTTTGATCCATAACAATGTTTACCAACAGTAAAATTAAAATATCCCGTCAGCAGTGATGGAACTTAACCTGAGGACGGCCACCATATAACAAATGAATGATGCACTTGTAGTTTATAAACTATGACTGTATGGGACAGTTCACTTGTCTGAGGTGAAGTGTCTCCATATCCAAGGTAATCTATTATATCTTAAGTAATCAATAAAGTTACTAATGATAGTCTATGTGCGTAAATGCACACAGTTATCTTGCTTTGGAGACGCTCATATAAACCCTGCTTGTGTCTGCTGCTGCAGGAATTTTAAAAAACTCCTAAACACAAAGCAACAAACCAGATTTCAGCTCCAGTTGATTTTTGGCCAAAACATGGATTTTATTCGTTACTGGTGAGACTTGTATATCTAGACTGTTAAAGTCTTCATCGTCATCACAATCAGATTTTACTTTTAAGGACATGTCAGTTTGGAACAGATGTGAAATTTTTGTTGAAATGTGGAAAAAAAAAACTTCCCTAAGTCGCTTCACACAACTCTAAGTACTGTCATTTGAGTCTGGCTATCCATTAATGCAATGGGCTGCAATTCAGAGTTGTGCTGTTTTAAAGTGATACAGAAATGTTAATTCTGATCTTGTAAGATTGGGATCATGACTTTTACAGAAAAGTGAGTAGGGCGCTGTTTTACACGACGCTGACATGTTCAGATGCCGTCAGATTTAGAGAAATAATTACATTAAAGAGGGCTGCAAGGAGGCTCGGTGGTTAGCACCGTCGCTTCGCAGCAAGAAGGTCGCTGGTTTGCGTC